CGCAGGAACTAAAGAAAAACGGTTCTGGGCGCCCGCAGACAACTGGAACGTTCCGACGTCCTCCGTTTGTCTCCGACTGATGACGACGTGAGCGTTAAGACAAACTGCATCACGGAACCACAGGAGGTCTGGACTGGAACGACCCGTTTTTTTTCACGGACTCGGTTCTAATCAGGTCGACCCAACGCAGCTTCAGAGTCTTTCCACTGGGCGGTCCAATCTGCCTCCAGCCCGGGTCTTAGGACCTCCTGGACCGAGGTTCTGAGCGAGCCTGAAGGTTGGACGTCAGCAGGACTGAGAGAGCCGTCAGTCACAAGAATCAAACTCTCCAGACCGGAACGTTTGTCGTTTACTTTTCTCTGTTTTATAAAAAACTACTGAGCTGAACTGAGTCGGGTCGAAGTAGAGCGAGTCGAGCTGAGACCGGACCGTGGAACCACAGAATAAATCGGAGGTTTCTGACGTGGAGCGTCGCGTTTAAAGAGCGTCCGACGACTCCCGTTTTAATCGTGCATCCGTCCGTCTTTGAGGACGTCGTCTCTCCGAGTCGGAGAACAAAAATCAAAGAAAAGTTCTGGTTGAAGACCCGGCAGGACGTCTGAACCCACCAGCTGTCTTCGTGCTCACAACCTTCAGCTGAACTTCATAACCGGCATCTTTTATTTTGGTTCTGCTTTCTTTAAAAAGGCACTTCCTGCTGATCCATTTTGAATCTACTGACCAGAACCACCGGGTCTTTGCTCACATCATGTCGATGCAGACTGAAGTAAAGAACTCTGCGTTTGCAGTAAACTGGCACTGATTCAGAACCACATGCAGCTTTAAGGCAATGGTTCCCAACACTGGTCCCTGAGGAACACCATTTTAGTCGTTTCCCTGTTCCAACACACCTCATTCAGTGATTTCATTAAGTCATCAGGTTCTACGGAAGCCCGTTAGTCGCCCATTGATTCAAATCGGCGTCAGAGCAGGAAACAACTAAAACACGCAGGATGGTGTTCCTCAAGGACCAGGGTTGGGAACCACTGCTTTAAGGTACCATCAAAGACCAGCGGTCCTCACCTGATGTGGTCGTAGTCCACCCCCTCAAAGAAAGGATTGGTTTTGATGTCCTCCACGCCCGCGGCCCCGATCCGATGCTCCTCCTCGCAGCAGAACCTGCACACACGTCGACCCGTTACCAGACGGATCTAAAACTCGGAGACGTTCTTGATTCTTGAGCGAGCTCCTGCCTGAGGATGAGGTCTTTGGCCTTCTCCGAGATGGGCACCTCTGGAGGAAACGTGAGCGTCTCTCTCCAGTTCATCACCTTCCTGTACGTCTCCTGAGGCGTCTCCGAGCAGAACGGAGGGTAACCTGCGGACAGAGAGCACCACGTTTACACCACCTGCCACTTACACCACCCCTGACCCACAGACGGAGAGCGGTGCCGGTACCTATCAGCATCTCGTACATGATGACCCCGAGGCTCCACCAGTCGCACAGCTTGTTGTAGCCGTTCTGCATGAAGACCTCAGGGGCGATGTAGTCCGGGGTCCCCACCGTGGAGAACGCCTGACGGAGACACGAGAGGCCGTTTGTTTTGTGACGGCAAAAACACGAAGAACCGGATAAAAACCGCTCCGTTCACCGAGTCAAGAGCTTTTCATTACCAGCTGCCTCCGGTTCCTCTTCCAGGTCTCGGCTTTCCTCTTCGAGTTCATGTTCTGGAAAGCTGCAGGAACAAAAACCGTCCAGAGTTCAACTTCAGATTAAGATTTATAATTAAACTTCAGATTTATAATTAAAAAATTTAAAAGGCTTTTTAAGTATTTTCCCATCAACTCGGAGGATTCTTCCTGTTGGCTCCTCGTCTTTAAAAAACTTTTTCTAACTGGAAACAGTCTGAAGCATCAGAAGAGCTCCTCTGAGACAAACAGAACAGAAGAACCACCAACGGTCCACTGTCGGAGCGGTCAGAACCCAAAGCACGAACCGCCCGCACAACAATCCTGAGTATTGGGTGGAGGGGTCAAAGGTCAGTTTGACTGATGACGTTCTCCACCATCGAACTGGGACATCATCACAACATCACGGGGACACCTGAACGTGTCTCCAGTCCATCACGGGGACACCTGGACGTGTCTCCAGTCCATCGCAGAGACACAGAGACAAACAACCTTCCACACCAAGGAACAATTTAGAGTTACCAATCAGCCTAACGTGCACGTTTTTAATCTGTAGGAGGAAACTGGAGTACATGGAGGAAAAACCCCAGACGTGCACGGGGAGAACATGCAAACTCCACCCAGGAAGGCCAGGAGGCAGACCTGCGACCTTCTGAGAGGCGACAGCTCCAACCGCTGCACTCCTGGTGCAACAAACGGTCAAACCAAACTGAAAGCAGGAACTCAGTTATTTCCTGTTAAAGCTGGAGATGACATCATCACAGAAACCTCACCACAAATAGACAACGTGCGCGGGCGTGGCCGGCTGAATGTGTGTGAGAACGGCAGCTAAATAAATCGAATACAAACGTTGCCTGACTTTGCTTGCTGAAGTCACTGGGCAGGCTGTGGTTGAGATTCTTGTAGAAGTCCGTCCGATGGGCCTTCTTCAGTCCCGTGCACAAACCGAAGTCAGAGAGCTTCACGTGACCCTGGAAACAGAAAGAGTCCGTTAAAGCTGCTGAAACCACCTCGCAGCAGCATCAC